GTCTGCTCTACCTCGGTATCTCTGAGAGACCCGGTGCAGTTTCATAGAAGAGAGCATGAGAAGCAATGCATGCGGGGGGTGGAGTAGATGGGAGGAGAGAAGGGAGACTGTGGTTGGTATATAAATGAAAAAATTTAATAATAAAAGGAAATATAGGGGCCGGAAAGGCACAAGGGGCTGGGAACAGTCCTGCTCAGCGGCAAAGGTAGCTGTGGTCACAGAACCTGGCTGAGGCTGTGCCAAGTCCTGACAGCACCGTGTCCTACGGGAGAGGCAGAGGAGTGTGGGAGGGTCTCCTAACCTCTGCTGTCCTCAGTCTTTGGTGTCCAGAGTAAACATTACAGACTTAGCCTGCCCAACTGAGCCCTGGGGGTGGGGTGGGGTGGGGCAAAGCCGGGTCTGTCCCTCCTACTCACATACTTGTGGGCTAAGCAGGTGTCTGTGAACATTGTTCACAACATTGCTGTCAGCAACAGGACACCTTTGTGCTGGCAGCAAAAGATGTCACTGGCATGGATGGCCTCCAAAAGGTGAGGCAGAGCAGAGCCCCTTGAAGCTGTATGCCCTCCCCTTCCCTGCATGAGGGTGAAGGCCATCCTGTGATGGCTTGAGGTTCTATTTATAATGAAAATGTGTAGGGTGTCTCCTTTTACTTGCCTCTTGGTCTGCGCAGTAGAAAGGCATTCGGGCATCTTCTGTAAAGGCATTCGGGCATCTTCTGTAATCTCCAGAAGGCTAGGCTACTTAGCTGCCTTCTGTTTATCTAGATGCCTGATGTGGGATGATGGCAACTGAGACTCCACTGGTGGGGCTTCTCAGGAGATACTGTGGCTATGTGGTCCTTAAAATTGAGTGCACCCTCCAGCCCGTCCCTGGACTGGGACATGACATTTCAAGGTACAGTCTCACTTCTTGTTGAAGGTCCATGTTCTTGTATTAAAGGCCTGCAGCATCAACCCTGCGTTAGGGCAGACTGCCTCTCCTTGGCACTCCGATGCGCTCACAGGCATGCATGGGGACTTGTAGACTCTAGCAGCAACCAGAGCCTTTGATTAATCATTTAGAAGGTCAGAGCAGAGCAAGTGAAGTTTCGGATGTCAGGCTGATATCACCTGAGAAGGCCTCTGTTCACATTCTTGTGACTCATTCCTGCCCGTCCCACTTGTCCATTGTCTGCCCTCGTGACACCTGTGAGGTTGTAGACTATCCAGGGACCAAGGGACTTCTGGTATGAGGTGTCGGGTGGCCCTGGAGAAAGACCCAGGGATTGGTGAGTAGACACTGACCTTCCTTGTAGCACAAAGACAAGATGTAGGTGACCAACCTTTCCATGACAGTCGAGCCCTCCCACACTTGCTCTGCACCAGGCCTCTAGGTATCTGCCCCTCTGCAGACCCTACACCAGGTTGGGGCTGAGAATGCTGACAGCTGGCTCAAGGGAAAGGGATGGCTTCAACAATGAAGGAGCCCAGACCCGATGTCACCCCAGCCTGATCATTAGACCCTTCCTGCCTGAGACCAGTAGAGGCCTCTACTAATGGCCGAACAGGATGATCTCGGTCCCTAGTGAATGAACAAGGTTAGTAGTACTTCAGTTGATGTGAATGTACACAGAATCTAGAACCAGCCTTTGTCTCAAGTCTGGCCACTGGGGGGCAGCACTTGATCTCCAGGGATGATCTCAAACTGAGCAAGCTCTGTAGTGCCAGCGCCTTTCCAGGCCAGGTGCAGCCTACCCACGGCTTTGGACTCCCAACACCCCACCCCACCCCCTCCACCCCCGTTTCCTTCTTTAGAAAAGAAAGACTGAGAGGGGCGTGGGAGAAAGAACCTCACAGGGCTAACACCATTCACAAAAGGCTCTCAGCAGCAGTACACACACTCTGCTTTGGCTACAGAAGACAGTCGCCAGGACAGTCCATCTGGGCAGGAGCCCTCTCTGTATCACTGACTGGTACTCCCAGCTCAGCTTCAGAGAATACATGACTGATTCGATACTGGGAAGATGTGAGAATCCTCAGGCAGATTCCCTCACAGAGGTGACAGGGACAGTGGCAACATGGAAGACAGAGCCGCGAGGCCCCTGGGTGGATAGGAATCCTGAGGCAGAGACCAGGCCTTGCTATTCAGTACAGGAGACGTCCTCTGGAAGTGCAATGCCTTCCCCCAATAGCAGGTGGGCGTCTAGAAGGAACTGTTGGAAGATTTACCGTTTCTAGGCCCACAGTCGTGCTACAAGGATCTGGAAGGACTTCCTTTAGACTTACTCCTGGACCACTGCTGCTTTAGTTAACTTGAAAGCAAGGAAGAGGTGGGTAGGAGACCTGTAGACCCCACCCTGTCCCCATCCTAGCCTCGGTGTGAGGGAAGGGCAGTCAGAAGGGCTTTGGAACGTTCTGTCTCTGGAAAAGGGTGCCTTGGGCATCTTTTGACATCCGTCAGCAGTCTGAGAAGAATGGTCTGGAAATCTTTAAGTTACCAGGTTTCTAGGAATTAGTGAAATGAGACCTGGCATGAATGACCTTGGCTGATCTGGAGAAGGCGGCAGTGAAGAAAGCAGGATTTGGTGTTGTGTTGACTTAGCTGAGCAAGCTCAAGGTGCACTGGTTCTCACAGGAGGGAAGGCCCTGTGCCTGGTGCCCCCTGTCTGCCCCTCAGGTAGAAGGTTGGATGGCATTGTGCGGTAGACTTTGGACTAAGTTTTGGCATTGTGAGCAACTACCCAATGGATGTAGCTGGAGACTATGAGGCCAAGTGGTCTAGCATTAAACCTGCGCCAGATCCCTAGCAAGCCAGGGCACTCTCCTATACCAGCTCCCGTGGCCAAGATATAAAAATAGACAGAAAACACAAGACTAGAGCTGAAGAAGGCCAGCTGCAGGAGAACTGGCCTGATTCATAAAAATCCATATTCTTTTGCAAGTTTGAAGTCCTTACTGCTTATGGATTTGATGAGTGTTCTAAGGTTAAAGCTACCCAGTGTTTAGAATAGGCCCTAGGGGAAGACAAACTGAGGTGTGCCTACTGTAGGCTTAGATATCCAACTCCATTCTGAAAGCCTCCAGCCAGCTGCCCCACTTGACCTGGCTGCCCTCCCTGCTTGCTTTACAATGTAGTTTGCTGCTGAGCAGCTCTCAAGTTTTTGTTTGCTTGCTTGTTTTGAACTCCCAATTGTTTCTTTAAGGTACAGATTTGAATTCTATTGGGCTTAGCTGAATCTGAGGAGTGCCCCTCCCCACAACTTTTGTAGAGCAGGGGACAACACTTCCTATCTTCTTAGCCGACTGAGGTCTGACTGAGGTCCACCAGCTTCAGTGCCTTGGCTTAGGGTCATTTTGTAGTGTCCTAGCGTTCACTCCTAGGAGGAAGAATGCTGTCCCCTTGAGTGACGGGAAAGAGGAAGTAGTAGGCAGGAGAAACAGGCTGCAGAGCCCCTCCGCTGACACCAGATCATTCTCACTCTCCTCTTCGTTCTCTCTCCAGTGTATGTGGTGGAAGACCAAAGAAGAGATGACCTGGGCCCGTCCACCTGCCTCACAGCCTGCTGGACGGCTCTCTGCTGCTGCTGCCTCTGGGACATGCTCACCTGACGAGCCCAGCTCTCCTGCTGGGTGTCTGTGGCACCTCTGATAGCTGTGCCTGCTCCCATCTCTTCTGATTGCTGTAATACGTGGCTAGCTCTGCGCAGACACCGCTACCTTGAATCCTATGGAGTTTTAGATTAGTAAGGGTTACTGCTATTTAATTCAGTGACTTGATCTTTTTAATGTTCAAAAGTCATTTCTTACTGATCCTTAACAAATGTGCTAAATAATGTTACTTTTTGGCCAAAGGCTTAGTTATGAAATATATATTTATAATGTTTAAATTATACACTCAAGGTTATGGCAATATGTGACACACCACTAGATCTCTGCTCACACCCTGTATGTTTCAATAAATCCGTCCAAAACCTGGTCTCTGTTGTATTCCATCCACCAGAGCTTGTAAGATGTGAGCATGTCAGCTGTGACCACTGCCCAAACCAGAAAGAATTTTTCTTCTATTCTAGCTACCTCCTCACAGATGGCTTAGGCAGGCGTATTCACCAACACAGTTCAGACTCGCTTTTGCCCAGGCCCTGGGAAAGGGACTGCCCAGGGCCACTCTCCAGTCCACAATCACAGGGCCTTCCTGTTCCCACCCCTCCTAGTTAACCAACCTGTTCACCTCACATTTGGCCACAGGGTGTCGCTAAGTTGTCAAAAAACAAGTCAAGAGTTTCCTTAGCTGTGGAGCACCAAGGGCAGCCCAGAGCAGCAGTGGAGGGCGGAGTGCAGGACGGGGAGGGAGATGTGCTTCCAGTGAAGTTACCTGTGACTAAACAGTGAGTATGAGCTAGCCTGAGCTAGATGAGATCATATCTCAGAGAAGCAACCCACAACTTTATACCATTATACACCATATCAATACCCCCAATTTATTGAGGCACAAAGCCCACCACCAAACACCCTGCCTGGACTCAGCAACTGATCTTGAATTCCTGCAGTGGCCAAGTGCAGAGCAATAGGAAGGGATGAATTCTAAAGGTTTACTGTTTTGTTCTAAATACTTAAGTCTACACCTAGTTTTCAGTAATAGTTGTGTTTAACTGACGTACAATAAAATTCCTGAAAGCTGAACAAAATGAATCAGCTGTCCCGAGAATGTGTAAGCCATCTCCCCAAAACCACTGCCCCCTTGGAGGTGCTAGAAAGCAGGACCACTGGCCCACCATGGCCAGACAAGAGACAAAGCCTTGGAGATGCTACTTGCTATTGAACTTGGTTTGGGAATTGGGGGAGAAAACAAGGAAGAAATCTTGAGGCCAGCTGTGGCTCTGTTCACCTATAAACTCCCTTCTTCCTCCTGTGCCCTACATAGAGGCCATGAGCTACCTGCAAGGACCAGAAAGAGAAGAGGAAAGAGATAAGAGCTGAGGAAAACACTTACTCTCTCCCTCAGCTGGAGAAAAGCAGATGTCACAGAGCAAGACGCAGCTTTTTATTGATCTAACCCAATGTCTACTGACAGGCTTAGGCAGCCGTCTCCGTCTGCCCTCCAGACTTCCCTCTGTTGAGAGCTCCTGGCTTGGCCCCTGGAGAGCAGTGTCCTGGGCAGGTGCCAACATTCAGGTGGGGCCTGAAGGGGGCTCAAGGTGTTGGAGAGACCGTAGGGCCGCGAGGCAGAGGGAGACCAGAACCCCGCAGAGCCCCTGCTTGACAGGATAGCAGGGGTCAGGAGGGGAGGACACTGCCAGCAGCTCCTACTGTGCCCTCCGTGCCATCAGCATCTCTCGAATGTTGTCCTCGGCTTCCTTAACACTCCGCTCCAGGTAGGACTTTTTCTGCTGTAATATGAGAAAAAAAGGGTTAGGACCAAAGTGAGCAGGCGTAGGTATTACAGCCACAGGTTATGATGTCCTCCCCGGACAGTGATGCCAGCAGCATGCTGCCAAATAAAAGGCAGGGAAGCTCAGCTGCCACAGCACTCCCCTCAGGCAGCAGGAAGACCTAGCCTGGTACAGGAAGCACAAATGCCCTGTAGAGGGCAGGCCATAGCACCCTTCCCCCAGAATGAAGTACATGAGGTTACACTAGATGAAGGCCAGAAAATTCCAGGACAAAGCTCCTGCCCCACAATGGGCTGTCTCCTCTGAGGGTTTTCCGTGGCCTGAGCCAGGCATCCATAGCCCCTGGTGTGTAGGGCAGACAGCATGCATACACTGCGGCGAGCCCAGAGCAGTCGACTGCACAGCTCCGGCAGGCAGATGAGTCAGGGTGCAATCTGCTTTCCTACTGAAGCTGATGCCGCCACGATCCAGAGCAATGACACATCATTTAGTAAAGCAGTCTTATGGAAGCTCACCTCTTGTCCCATCTGGGTCCTAAATTAAAAATCTCAACTTCAACAAAGAGACATAACTACTTTCAGAAGACAGACCAGGACCACAAAGATTAGTCAAAGGAAATGACGTGTGTACATTATTTGCCCCGTGCTCATTCCAAAAGTATGGTGGCTTTGCCACAGTCTCCTGTCCTGGGAACAGAGTTGTGGCTGTGTTTCCACTTAGTAGACATGACAGTGCCCATTAGAGGATAATCAGAACCACCCTTCCCAGGTACATATGACTGAGGGAGCCCCACTGGAGTTTGGTGCCACCACTGCCTTCACCCAAAGTGCCTACATGACCCAGGGAAAATCTAAGGCAGACAGCAGGTGAGCCACACATCACCACGCTTCCAGGGACCTGCTCCACAGGCCCTTGCTTGCTTGGAAACTGAAGACAAGGAAAGAGCATTTCTACAAGGTGGTCATTTGCATCAAACCTCTGATGTACGGTCTGCAGGTCTCTGCCTTAAACTTCTCCCACTTGGCCAGTTAGTTATGGAACAATGCATTCAAAGGCTCTGCAGAAGTGACACAAATCTGTACCAGTTCCTGTGTGAGCTTGCCTCCAGTCTGACCTTCCAGTCAAACCCCAGTCTCCTGACTCATCTCCCATCTGCCAACTTGCACCCACTTCCTTACAACACCAGGAGCACCATAAAAGCCATCAGGACTATGACAATTCAGCGGCCCCAAATGTGTACTGTTGCTAAGGAATTTTGCTTAAGTACACTGCTAACCCTGATACAACCTATCACTGATAGAGTGGGGATTGAACTTCCCTTGATAAACAACCCTTAGAGTTCACTTTTGAGTGTTACAGGCGCACTGATAACTGCTGCCTCATGACTGAAGAATGTGCCCACGTAGACCTAGTCACAGTGCCACACACCACCTGGACACCTTGGGCCGAGCCTCACAGGAAGTACAGACCAGGCTGGTGGAGAAAGCAGAACTCTCCCTGCCACAGCTAGCACTTAGGGACCTGGGTCTGTTGCCTTTGCTCCGACAAACCCAAGTCACAGATGACTTTGAACATCCTCGTCCTTCCCAGGCTTCTGAACAAATACAGGTCATAATCCTCAGCATTAAAACGTTTTTATCTCATAGCATTTTTTCCTTCAACCATCTTTTTTTAAAAGATAATGCAAATAAGCTTTTCTCTCTTTAAATCTTGTCTGGTTGGTTTTTGTTTTTGTTGTTTCTTCTTCTTCTTCCTTTTTTTTTAAAAACTTCCTTTTTGAGACAGGGTTTCTCTGTGTAGCACTGGCTGTTCTGGAACTCACTCGGTAGACCAGGCTGGCCTTGAACTCACAAAGATCCACCTGCCTCTGCCTCCCAAGTGCTGGGATCAAAGGCATATACTACAACCACCCTAGATTTTATTTTTAGAAGCAGGATCTCCCTGTGTAACCTGGGCTATCAGCATACAGCCTAGGCTTGCTCTGAACTTATAGTAGTCTTCCTGCCTCTGTCTTGCAAGTGCTGATATAGGTGCACAGCATCAAACCCAGCCCTTCAATCTCCAGTTTAAATAAATTTAATGGGCAATTCGAAAAACAAACACTAACTCAATAGTTCCTGTCTCAGCCTCAAGTACAACTAAGCCCAATGACATCTAACCTAGACCATGGCACCTGCTCGGAAGTGAACTCTCACAAAAGGTATCCTGCAGCCCTGTCTCCCATGAACACACTCCTGAACACACACCCCGAACTCTTCAGATTCAACCCCATTATGGATTCTAAATCCAGCTAATGTCCTTGAAAGAAGGTGATGTGCAGACAGGTCCCACACAAAAAGGCAGAACGTCTTGTGTGCTCTAAGTAGAGACTTGATTTGCCTACAAGCTGGAAAAGCAAAGCCACATCAACTGGGAAATGCTTCTAAACATTTGTATGCTGGGATCATACTTCTCTCAAAAACAACTGTAAGAAACTCAACCAAAAATACAAATGAAACCATAAGAGAGGATAAAGAAAACGAAGGAAGCAAGACTTAGCTAACCGCTTCCCAACTGAAGTTTATTCCTGAAAGGTCAGGAGGTCAGCTCCAGTCCTGAATTGGCTCTGACACTGCAAACGCAGGCACTGTCCACCACACCTATGAGCCCTGCCTCAGAAGTATCTGGAACCTTCCTGAAGTGTCCCTCTGAAGTATCTTTCTTCTGCTCCTGATCTCTACCCGGTGGCTGGGGTCTTCCTTCCAACAAAGCCTTCTCTTCCATAGCTTCCCACCATAGAGGAAAAAGCAAAGCTACTTTGTCTGTGGGCTGATAAATCCAAACAGCATAGCCTGGGCGGCTTTTAAATACCAATGTTCTGCAGGCTGGGGTGAAGACCAAGGCTGATGAAGGATCTGGTTGGCACTGTCTGGTCACAGACAAAAGTTCCTCCTAGCAGTGTGCAAGTGAGCTCCTTGGTCTCTTATAAGGACACTAATCCCATTCAAAGGGTTCCACCCCCATGATCTAATGACTTTCCAAACCCAGCTTCTCCAGGCCTTTATCAAGTGTCAGCTTATCTGAGGAAGAACTGTCCAATGGGCAAACTTGGTTCTGTCTGTGCCTGGGCCCTAGAGTCTAGAATGGTTGGTGCAGCAGCTCCTACTGCGAACGTCTTGGAGCCCTGGCACACTCGCTGCTCCTTCTTTCCCTCCAAGTTTAACAAACAGGGAACACGTACCAGAGGGAGCAAAGGCAGAAAGTGACCATCCTTCACAATGCCTTTCCTGTTTGGGTTTCGGTCCCTAACCTTTTGCCCCTGGATATATATAGATTTAAAACTAAATCTTCACTGATGCCAACAGGGACATCAGAGCCTTGACCTCACAAACACGGCAGGCCCTTAGGCTTCAGCAAGTCAACTGCTGTAGCCTAGAAAACAAACCTTTCCAAGTCCCCAGGTTCTAGACTCTGGAGTCTGTAAGATACTACAGTATCTGGTGCCAGCCTTGGCAGGGCCAGGGACGTCACACTGCTGGAGTTCTCGCTCACAGATCCAAGGTTCCTTTTCTGGGAGACAGTCTGAGGCTGGCTTTTCAGTCTCATCAGAGGACAAGGTTCAAGTACTCAGAACTTTCCCAACATGACACAATCTTTCAGATGGACTCCTAAGGTAACTCACCCTGTGATTCTCCAGGCTTCTCTCTTTCGGGAACTCGATCCCCAACTCTCTTCTAAATCTGTACTTTCCCCTTCCTGTTTGTCATGCCTTAGGGTTTAAAAAAGAAGATTTTTGTTTTGTTTTGTCTTTTTTTTTCTTTTAAAGACAAGGTAGCCTGTTTTTTGGTTTTTTGTTTCTTTTAACCCAGGCTGCCTTTGAGCTCATGATGGGAATACAGGTGTGAACCGCCACATCACTACTATAAGCTCCCCCCTTTGCTCCTCAGCTGTTTCCATGTGTCTCTTGAATATGCCTCTCAAATTGCCCTCTCTCCTCAGTGCCACAGTAGGCCTCTGCCTAGTCCTGTGCTTCCTATCCAGGCTAGGGAGGCTAGAGATAACAGGCAGGGAGGGCTGTCTTGTCTGCCTGAGATATTTTGTGAGATCCATGTCTTCAGAGGCCTTCTGCCCCGAGTCTGACCTATTCTGGCCATCTACTTTCTCCTTACAGTGAACCCCAGCTTCTAGCTTCTCTAGACCCTCGCCAGCTTCTGAAAAGTGAAGGCAAAGGCTATCTTCTCCTCCTCTGTCCCTTGACTCCCAGATTAAAAGTCCAAAAAACAGTATGACAGCTCATGCCTATGAACCCAGCGCCCAATTGTAACTTTAAAAAAGAAAAGAAAGAAGACAAAAAGAAGTAACAAAAATGGGGTTGTAGAGGTGGCTCTATTGGTGGTGTGTGGATTCTCAGGACACACTTATAAAGCTGAGTGTGGTGGTCCATGCCTGTCATCCTTGTGGTAAAGAAAGACACAGGAATACCCCTGGGTCCCACTGGCCAGATCCGCTGAGCCCCTGCTGCAAAGGAGAAGGTGGAGAGCAGCTAATGAAGACGCCATGTTGACCTCTGGCCTCCAATCACTCTCACACTGGAGGACATGCACAAACAGGCACACAGAGCACAGCCCAGACTTCTGACCACTCTCGGTCATCAGACATGTAGCTGGTCCAAGGGGCAGTGCCCACCATAATGAAGCTAGAAAAAGGCCAAGATATACTAAAGGTAAGGGGGTCTATCTTGGCAGACAGGAAGCCAATGTGGAAAGCAAAGGGAAGAGGAAGAAAAAGGAAGGAAGACAACAGGCAGGACAGGAAGTTAGGAGGCAAAATGAGAGCATCTCTGGGACAACAAGGATGTCTGATGAACTGATGAAGAGAGTGTAACAAAGACAGGAAAAGTCAGGATATGATAGAAGAGTCAGGTACTGACCACTCGTAAACCCCCACTGAAGAGGCCGGTCCCACGGTGACTGCAGAACCACAGCACCGAGGGACAAGCTCAAAGAGAACAAGCACCT